CATCTTGAAAAGCTAACGGTCTGACAGTTTTTCAGAAGTGGCTCTGAGACCCACGGGTATGAGAGGAGCAGCAACTCCTCTGAGGGCTGCTGGACAAACAGGCCCGCAGGGTGCACGTGTCAGACGGAGGGCCGTGAGCTGGAGTGGAGCAGAGGGCATGCGGGAGCCGGGAGCGCAGCATCACGAGGACGAGACGCAGAGCAGCACGAGGACATGCAGAGGGCGGCACGTCCACATCTCCCACTGTCTTTTTATTTTGCCTTCTATGTATCTTATATGCCCCTTCAAATATGAGGGGACTTCTAAAAGTTTGTGGGAACACAGAATAAAAAGATAAAAGTAGGGGCCAGCAGATGGTGTAGCAGTTACATCACTGGACTCCCGCATGGCCGAGCATGGTTCGAGTCCCAGACCTGGTGGCTCGAAAATCATGCCAGGTATGTGTGTGTACATGCCCAAGATCCCAGGAGGAGATTGGAGAAGGAGTTGCGGGGTGGCCATTCACCCCGGGAGGTGAGTTCTCACTTTCTCTCTCACTGTCTCTGTCTCTCTCTCTTCCTAGCAAGTGCATACACTCTAAGGCAAAAATCTCTAAAAAAAAAAAACAAACAGAACACACACACACACACACACACACACACACACACACAAATTTCATTTCTCAATAAGTTCTGTTAAGGTCAGGACACCCTGGGAACCAGCAGTTAGCGTAATGGCTATGTCGCTGGATTCCCACGTAGTCGACCGCGGTTCGTGTCCCGGACCCGGTGGCTTAAAACTCACGCCGGGCGCGTGTGCGTGCGTGCCCAAGATCCCGAGAGGAGAATGGAGGAGAAGGGATTGCGGCGTGACCATCCCCCCTGGGGGGTGATTTCTCGCTTTCTGTCTCTATGTCTCTCTCTGTCTGTCTGGCGAGCGCACGCGCCCTACAGTGAACTCTCAAAAAAAAAAAAAAAAAAGTTCAGGACACCTTTTTTTTTTTTAAGAGGTTTTTGCCTTAGGGTGTGTGCACTTGCCAGAGAGACAGAGACATTGAGAGGGAAAGTGAGAAATCAACCCCTGGGGGGATGGCCGTGCCACAACTCTTTTCCTCCATTCTCCTTCCAGGATCTTGGGCATGCACATACACACACACTCAACATGATTTTCAAGCCACCGGGTCTGGGACTTGAACTGTGGTTGCCCATGCAGGAGACCGGTGACATAACCACTACACCATCTGCTGGCCCAATGACATTTTTGTAAATGATGTAACCAGCCATCTCTAAAGAACTGAGGGTCCTGGGAATTTAACCAAGTCCGTGTAATCTTCTTCACGTTAACTAAAGAAAAATGGGTGCCCTTTATAGATTTTTTTAAAGATTAGGAAACAGGGACCAGCAGTTAGTGTAATGGCTATGTCGCTGGACTCCCATGTAGTCGACTGTGGTTCGAGTCCCAGACCCTGTGGCTTAAGGGATTGCGGCATGGCCATCCCCCCTGGGAGGTGATTTCTTGCTTTCTGTCTCCCTGCCTCTTTCTGTTTTTTTGGCAAATGCACCCTGTAGCAAAAAACTCTCAAAAAAAAAAAAAAAAAAGTTAGGAAACAGAGGAGCCTAATTAGGACTGCGAGGTGGACACCTAATGATTCTCTCCCAAAGCTCTCACGAACCTGTCCTGGTTTGATGAAAGGAATGAGCAAGGGCATTGTCACGGCGGAGAGCTCTCTAGTGAAGCTGTCGACTGGCCTGCTTTTGTTTTAACTAGACCACCGCGACCTCCTGGTAGCCACTGCTTGGACTGAGCTTATGGTCAGGATGGTACAGGTAAAGCCACGCTCCATCTCATCACCACTCTTTGAAGAACCGTTTCCGGGTTCGGATCTCCCTTGTTTAAAATGGCCGGGGAAGCTTTGCATTTCTCTGCAGCTGCCCTGGGCACAAAAGTTTGGTACCCACTGGGCAGCAAGTTTGCCCGGTCTTAACTGTCCAGCCAGAACCGTGTCAGCTAACCAGCTGAGACCTCCATGGCGTTGGCCACTTCTGCTATTGTCGCTCCTCTCCTTTGAGCACAAGAACGCACTGAATTTTTTCTTTGCAAACTGATGTGGAGGGTCTGCCGCTGTGGGGTCATCTACAGCATCACCTCCTGCCTCGATGAGCAGAGCGACCCACTTGTAAACTGCTGATTCCCTTGAGGCATTGTCCCCATGAGCCTTCTGTGAAGCATCGTCGATTTCACCATCGTCCCACTCGAGCTTCACCATAAGTTCATGTTGTGCACGCTGCTCTAATAGAAGCAGTTTTCAAACCACATCTTATCTTAGTGCTTCAAACTAGATTCTATTCCGACATGTTTTAATAAGTTGGTACAAGTTTATTCTGGTGCAAAAAAGGGAATGAATATAAATGAATTAATTTAAAATGTTTCAGAAGAAAATTACAGTGCACTTGTAATTTTGTAGCTTTGTCCATAGTTTTAGTTTAAGGTATTTTGTGAATCAATAAAATGTGGAAAAGAATGTAAAAAAACAAACAAACAAAAAAAAAAAACAAACAAAAAAAAATTAAATCCATGTAGTTTTCTCATAAAATGCATTTTCATGAACTCTTTGAAGACTCATATTTTCCCAAAACAATGTGGCATATATTAAAAAAAATTAAAAAATAAACCAGCTTCAAGGGAACAGCAGGTGGCATAGTGGATTAGGGTACTAGATTCCATGTGACCATGGTTCAAATCCCAGGCCCAGCAGCTTGAAACTCATACCAAGAGCATGTACGTACATGCCCAAAATCCCAAAAGGAGAATGGAGGGGAAGAGACTGTAGTGAGGCCATCCCCCCATCCCCGTTGGAGGGAGGTTGGGAGGGGGAGGGATGGATTTTTCACTTTCTGTCTCTCCAGCAAGTGCATGCACCCTACAGTTTAAAATTATTTTTTAAATTTTTATGTTTTAGAGGAATTTTTGCTATCGGATATGTGTGCTCACCAGAGATATAAAGAAACAGAAAGTGAGAAATCACCCTCCAAGGGTGATGGCTACCCCACAATCCCTTCTCCATTCTCCTCTCAGGATCTTGGGCACACATTTATAAGTGCCTGGCTTAAGTTGTTGTTGTTGTTGTTGTTTTTAAGAGCTACTTTTACTTTAACTTTATTTGTTATTATCATTTTCCAGAGAGAGAGAGAGAGACGGAGGGAAAGTGAGAAAGCTAGCTACCAGGTCCAGGACTTGAACTGTGGTCGGCCATGTGGGAATTCAGCGCCTTTAACCACCATGCCACCTGCTGGCCCCCTGGCTTGAGGTTTAAGCCACGGGGTCCAGGACTCAAACCTCAGTCAACTATGTGGAGTCCAGCAACATAGCCATTATGCCATCTGCTGGTCCTAACACACCTGTACTATGGTGCCCTATTGCAAAAATCTCTTAAAAATCCTGCAAATGTTAAACATTGTATGTCAGACCCACATCTGAATTCTTTAAAAAACTCACAACAAGGATATAAGAAAATGCTAACACAATCCTGAAGAACTTAACTGCTGTTATTTCACATGAACTTTTCTTGGCTTGAAGGAACAGGGGAGGAGAAACAGGTAAGTGCACACAGGTGAAAGTAAATGCTAGCGTTACTGAGGACAAAGGAGGGGCAGCTATACTTCCTTTTCAGAGGATGTGTCCACCTCCTTAAAACCCACAAGTGAGCCGAAGGTAGACCTCTACAGAGTTGGAACTGGAAGGAGCACAGTGTGTCTCCATTAGGGACTTACTCATTTATACCAAAATATGAAGCACTGTCGGAAAATGTGGGGTGAGCTTTTTGCCTACAAGGTAGGATAATGAGAGAGCTAGGGAGGGTTCAAGAAGTTGATGGTGGGACCAGCGGATGGCGTAATGGTTATATTGCTGGACTCCCACATAGTAGACTGTGGCTCGAGTCCCAAATCTGGCAACCTAAAACTCATGCTGGACGCGTGTACATGTGTGCCCAAAACCTCTAGAGGAGAATGGAGGAGAAGGGATTGTGGCATGGTCATCCCCCCAGGGAGGGGGGTGATTTCTAGCTTTCTATCTTAGTGTCTCTCCGTCAAATGCATGTGCCTTGTAGCAAAAATTTCCCTTAAAAAAAAAAAAAAAAAACCTTGATGGTTTTGGAAATCTATGAACTTCCAACCGAGGACTGCACGTAAATGGGTACATTTAACACTTTGCTGGCCACTTGAAGGTGTTTAAAAGCCCCTGAAGACCATTCTTGGGCTAAGAGAAAGAGCAAGCAAAGTGTAGGAAAATGGCCTGGTAAAGGCCATCGGGAAACTCGCTTCTGAGAGATTCTGTGAGGGAAAGTTCTAGGAGGAGAGAAATCAAGAAGCCATAGTTTCAGGGTTCAGAAAGATTTGAGGATAGTGGTTTTGAACCAGGAGAGGTGAACAAATCCAGGAACCAAAAAGACAGAGCCTAAGCCAGCCAGTGGTGTGGTGGCTAAGGTGGCTGGATCTCACATGGCTGACCACTCGGCTCAGAACTGGCGGCCTGAAAAACCATGCTGGGCACATATGCATGCATGCCCCAAATCCCAAGAGGTGAATGGAGGGGAGGAGACTGCAGCATGGCCATGCCTCCTAGGGAGTGTTTTCTCTCTCTCTTGTGAGCACATGCACCCTATAGAAATTTTTTAAAAAATAAAAAGACAGAGTCTTCATTCAAAACACTTAGCTACAAGCATGACACACCACATCTTGAAGTGAAGTACAAACGCTAATGTCTTTGGGAAAGCCCGTCATGAGAGAATCAAACAGGGAAGAGGTAAGGTGAGTGAAGAAAAGCCCAGAATCTAGAGCCCAGCACAGACAGGCTAGGACTCCCACACCGTCTGTGCTCAGGCCCCAGCTGAGAAGACTAGCATTAAATGAGCGAACACGAGCAACACGTTTAGCACAAAGCCGGGCACCTAGTGGCCCTAAGCAAATAGCATCACTTTACACTCACGGACTTGGAGAATCTCTGGACTCCCTGTCTCTTACCAAGAACGCCAACTGAAGAGATGGGCTGGGCTGAGGCTGTTTTCCAGGAGGCTCCGCAGGGAGTGGACCACTTGTTTGCACTCCTTTCAGCGAAGAAGGCGTATTGCAGGGCTCTGGCCTGCCCTGATTTCCGAAGGTATACAAACAGCTCCCTCTCCTTCTTGCTGCCCACTTCGTAGGGATACTGCACAGTAGCCTGGATTGCACGGACGCATGCCTCCTGAGCAAGGCACCCAGGGTGCTGCTTCCGCATCTTCAAGATGGCATCGCTGAAAATGGCGTCCATGTTGGGACAGCTCGGAACTGGCTTGTTGTAGAGTCTACGGGATTCTAGAGGTTGACCTGAAAGGAATAAGAAAGATCAGCATTTTACGTACTTTACTAACACAGAGGCTAGATGGTGGCTCTGCAGCAAAATGTGATGCTCTGCAAGAGAATCACCTGTGGGAAGGTTCCTGGTTCAAGTCTGGAGACCTTCCAGTACATGGTGGGCACATGCCTGCCGTGACCTAGGGCTGGCTAAAGGTTGGGAGTAGACTACAGCTCCAAGACCCTCTGGAGGTGCTCCCTCTCTCTCTTTCTCTCTTTCTGCATCTCTTGCTCTGGGAAGAAATAAATAAACTTAAAAAAAAGAAATGTTATTGGGACCAGCAGATGGTGTAATGGTTACATTGCTGGACTCCCACATGGCTGATTGCAGTTCGGGTTCCGAACCTGGTGGCTTGAAACTCATGCTGGGTGTGTGTGTGTGTGTGTGTGTGTGTGTGTGCCCAAAATCCTGAGAGGAGAAGGGATTGTGGCATGACCATCTCCCCTGGGGGATGATTTCTCACTTTCTGTCTTTCTGTCTCTCCAGCAAGTGCATGTGCCCTATAGCAAAAATCTAAAAAACCAAAATGTTATTTATACAAAAGGATATGAATAAATAAGAATAATACCCTGTTCAAATTTAAGTACAAAATGTAATACTAGGGACCAGCAGTTAGCGGAATGGCTATGTCGCTGGATTCCCATGTAGTCGACCGCGGTTTGCGTCCCGAACCCGGTGGCTTAAACTCATGCTGGGTGTGTGTGCGTGCATGCCCAAGATCCCGAGAGGAGAATGGAGAAGGGATTGCGGCGTGGCCATCTCCCCTGGTGGGTGATTTTTCGCTTTCTGTCTCTCTGTCTCTCTCTTGTCCCTCTGTCTCTCTCTGTCTGTCTGGCAAGCACATGTGCCCTATAGCAAAACAAAACAAAACAAAAAACAAAAAAAAATACAAAAAAAAAACCCAACTCTTCAAAATGTAATACTAGTCATCAAAATATTTAATATAACAGTAAAACTAATCCTTACATAATTGAATACATTCAATGCAATTCTAAGTTACCTAATTTAGACATAAAAATTGCATTTTGTTTTTATCCCAAGCCAAGAATTTTTTTTTTTGAGCAGTTTTATGCTATAGGGCGCGTGCGCTCGCCAGACAGACAGAGAGAGACAGAGAGACAGAAAGCGAGAAACCACCCCCCAGGGGGGATGGCCATGCCGCAATCCCTTCTCCTCCATTCTCCTCTCGGGATCTTGGGCACGCACACACACACGCCCTGCGTGAGTTTTAAGCCACCAGGTCCGGGACATGAACCACGGTCAACTTCATGGGAGTCCAGTGACATAGCCATTACACTAACTGCTGGTCCCCCAAGCCAAGAATTTTATAATAGATTAAATATTAATATATCAACAAGTCTGAGGAAAATAGTTCTGATTCAGTATTGTAGGTTCATAATTATACAATCCTGTCCTGCAGTAGTTAAGTGCTGTGTGGAAGGCCAGATGTTCAAAGCCAACTGCGGTCTGAGTCCTGGCTGGTGGCCTGACAGACATGTCAAATGTGTACGTCTGCTGCCCCCAATCCTGATGGGTTGGAAAAATAGAGCAAAAAGGATTTCAGTCGGAAATTTTAAAATGCTTAGAAAAGAAGACATATGATATTGATGGATGGATAGGCATATATATCAATAGAACAGAACTGACAGTTCATAAATAAATCCTTATAATTATGACTAATTGGTTTTTGACACAGGTGCCAAGCAATTAAATGGGAACAAAACCCAGGAATGACAAACAGAACTTAGATTTTTTACCTAGTACCATTTGGAAAAACAAACTAAAAAAGGATTATAAGTCAAGGAAGAACTAAATTACAGAAATTTCTTTTTTTAAAAAATTTATCTTTTTTTAAAGGTTTTTGCTTTAAGGTGTGTGCATTCGCCAGAAAGAGAGAGACAGAGAAACAGAAAGTGAGAAATCACCTCCTGGGGAGATGGCCATGGTGCAATCCCTTCTCCTCCATTCTCCTCTCGGGATCTTGGGCATGTACACACACGCACCAGGCACGAGTTTAAGCCACCAGGTCCGGGACTCGAACCGCGGCCGACTACATGGAAGTTCAGCGACATAGCCATTATGCTAACTGCTGGTCCCATAAATTACAAAAATTTCTATAGGAAAATCTTTGTGACCTTGAGTCGGGCAAAGTGTTCTTAGATTTAACACCACCAAAGGCATAATCCATTGAAAAAATTAATAAATTAAACTAGACTTCATAAAAATGAAAGACTTTTGTACTTCAAAGGATTGGAGTACAAGGAAATGAAATGACAAGCCATGGAAAGGAAGGAAATATTTATGTGGTAGGCAAAAAATGGCTCCCCCAAACTGTCCACATCCCGATCCTTAGAATCCGTGAATGACCTTGCATGGGAGATTTATAGGTGTGACGAAGGTTAAACACCTGGGATGGGAGATGACCCTTTGATATCTGGGTTGGCACAGTCTCATCTCATGAGTCTTTTCATTTTTTTAAACATTTACTTATTTATCTTTTTATGTGTTATGATTTTCAAGCTGCCAAGTCAAGGATACAAAACTGCAGTCTACCATGTGGGAATCCAGTACCTTAACCACCACACCACATGCCTTAACCACCATGCCACCTGGCGGCCCATCTTTTCATTTTTTTTTCCTTGAGGAAGAGAGACAGAGACAGACAGAGAAAAAAGATAGCAACCCCAAAGGGCTTCAGTGTTACATTCTATCCCTAGCCTCAGCCAGCCCTGGGTCATGGGTCAACCCCTGCCTGGCGTACTTGGGCAGGGGGTGGTGGGGGTGGTGGTGTCTCTGGATTTGAACAGGACACCTTCTTATGAGGGGTTGCCTTGCAGAGTATCCCATTCTACTGATGCTCTACTCTGGATCCCCTCACATGAGTTTAAAAGCAGAGAATTTTCTGCGACTGTAGGAAGAGATTTGCCAAAGAAGAACTGTTAGAGATGTGAAGTGTGGGAAGCTGCACACCAGCAGTCTGCCGAGGTTTCTCAGAGAGCAAACAATTACCATGATTGGTTCCCTTCCAAAAACCTGACCTTTGAAACCTTGCTCTGATTGGCCACTAGAATCCCTCAAATTTGCATACCTGGCACCTCATGATTGGTCCAAAAGCAACCAATCACAGCCCACCGTTTACAACCAATCAGAGCCCACC